GTACCTGGCAACTTCTAAGCAAATGGTAAGCTCTCAATAAATATTTACTAAAAAATATGATTAATTTGAGAAATAATGTAAGGCAAGTGGTTCCAAAGAGCAGCTTTCCTCTGCAGAAATTAAATCTCTTACAATTACATTTATCCTTAAAATATTCTCCTATGACAAAGGCAAAATGTATTTTACAAACAGAAAAACTAAAAATGATCTAATGGGAGTCCCCATTAGATAGTCCCCACTTGACACTTAATAGTGAACAAGAGAAAAGTCATGATAAAAGCATCAATGAAGGAAAAGTCTTCTCTTTGAAGTAAATTTGAGCCCCAGAACACTAATAATGGGAATACAGAGAAATAACGACAAAGAATCCGGAGACAATGTTGGCAACAAGTAATGGACTGCCTTTTGAGGACATGTCATGTAAGCATGTGACTGTTGCACTTCTAAAATGGCTGACATATACTGATACGTGCATTGACAGGTGTCAAGTCACGTCGGTAAAACACATTTCCTGTCCTTTAGGAGAGTCTCTAATTTTGAAATCAAGCAGCGACAAATTTCTATTCTGTTCTCCAGTGTTGCTGACTTCTACGCTTTTCCTAAACAGGATCCAGCATAACCCATTGCCACAGAGCTAAGGGTGACCCAAAAGATCACTGTGTGTGAATAGTGTGGCAGAAAAAAAGGTATAATCTGGCATATTGGCATCTGGATGTTTTCCTCCAAATACAGAGCAAAGTGCCCCAAAAGTTCAAGCTGATTTCAATTCACTATACAGAGGCTACACGGTCTGGTCAGAGAGCATTAGGAACCCAGGTCACCTGCTTTGTTGTAAGAACCCAACCACGACTGATCACATAACCTCAGACAAGTGGATTCCTCCAACAGTCATTTCCAGAGTAACCACCATGTATCATATATCATACAAGATGAGGGGGACACAGAGGTAAAATGTGTAATCCATGTTTTCCTGGAACTTACAGTCTAGTGTTGAGTCAGGCGGTTGGAGCAGACAGCACAGCTGTTCACCAAACTCATTTTCCTTTCACCGCGAGCATGAAGACAGACCAGATTTCCTAGCCTCCACGTAACTGCATTGTGGCTGGTGGAATGTAAGCAGTGAGGTGTGCCACACCCAGGCCTGGCCACAGAAAACCTCCCCCTTGATTACCGACTTTCTTTCTCCAGTTCCTTATTTGTCAGCTGGATGCAGGGCACCCTGCAGAGGACGCTGATTTCTTAGAGGTGATGGAGCCACAGATGGAAAGGAGCAAAAGTCCACCTGCTGAA